ATCCAAAGTAAATAAGCCTACAAGGTTCTGAACAGGGAACCAGAGACATCAACTGACAAATGAGGACAACTACAAACCAAAAAAGAGTGGAAAAACTGTGTAGTTACAGAACTTCTAAATAGTAGGGAAGTCAAGACAAGTACAAGATAGAACGGACTGTTCTAAACTTGAGAAGGAAACTATAAATCACAGGGTAACCTCAAAGAAAAATGATAAACCTTCACATCAAAATGAAAAAGAGGACCAGCACAAATACTTAGCAATTACTAAAACAATAGGAATGAAGGAAGTGATAATACAATTCATAAACAAAACGAACTCAGCATAGAAACTTAGGTGGGACAGAGAAATCGACAACACAAAAAAGCACATAACAAAAATGACAGAAAGAAATTCATACTTATTGATAATTACGTATCTGGCATAATTACGTATCTTATCTCTAAGATTTATAGAAAACTCCAACAGCTCAACAACAAAGACAAAGAATCCAATTAAAAAACGGACAGAAGACATGAATAGACACTTCACCAAGGAGGATATTCAGGCGGCCAGCAAATACATGAAGAAATGCTCACGATCATTGGCCATCAAAGAGATGCAAATCAAAACAACCATGAGATACCATCTCACCCCAGCACTGATGGCTAGGTTCAATGAGACAGAAAATAACAAATTCTGGTAAGGATGTGGAGAGATCAGGACTCTCATACACTGCAGGTAGGACTGTGAAGTGATACAACCAACTGTGGAAAGAAGTATGGCGATTCCTTAGAAAGTGGGAATTAGAGATACCATTTGAACCAGCAATCCCATTATTAGGTATAAATCCTAGAGAGGTGAGAGCCAGGACAGGAACAGATATAGGCACACCCATGTTCATCGCAGCACTATTTACAAAAGCAAAAAGATGGTAACAACCTATGTGGCCATCAATGGAAGAGTGGATGACCAAACTATGGTACATACATATAATGGAATGCTATGCAGCACAAAAGAATAATGTAAAGTCTGCAAAACACCACATAACAGATGAACCTGGAAGACATTATGCGGAGTGAAATAAGTCAATTACAGAAGGACAAATATAGTATTACTTCATTGATGGTTGCCAGGGGTGCGGAAGGAAAACAGAAAAAAAAAAAAAGTACACTGACCCATGTCACTTTAGTTCTGTGTATTTCACTGTACATAAATTATATTTCAATAAAATGCATTTTTTAAAAAAAGAATTACTGGATAATAGAAGAAATAAAAAATGAATTGAAAAAATTCCTTGAATCAAATGAGAATGAAAACATAGCATACTGAAATCTGTGCAACACAGCAAAAGCAGTGATCACAGGCCAATTTATAGTAATAAATGCACACATCAAAAAAGAAGAGCCAAAATCAACACTTTAAATCAACATCTCCAACCATTAGAAAAAGAACAAGAAAAGCCTACAGTCACCAGAAGAAAGGAAATAATAAAGATTTCAACAAAAAATCAGTGAAACAGAAAATAGAAAATGGAAAAAAATCAACAAGACTAAAAGTTTGTTTTTTGAAAAGATTAATAAAATTGACAAACCATTGGCAAATTTAACAAAGGAAAAGAGGGAGAGAAT